ATATTGAAGTTGCAAAAGCATTAGCTCATACTAGAAATGGAGAATGTCTTTCTTCAGAATATTTGGATAATAAAAGTCCTTTACAGTGGAAGTGTGTTAAGGGACATATTTGAACTGCAAACTTAAATAAAAGATTACAACCGATGGTATTCTACTTGTAGTGGGCGAAATCGGACTATATTTGATATGAAAATTCTAGCACAAAAAAATAATGGAGGATGCCTTTCAGATCAGTATTATGATGCACACACAAAGCTTTTATGGCGTTGTAAGAATTTCATATATGGGAAGCTCCTCCACTAACTATTCTGAAAGGTAGCTGGTGTCGATACTGTGCTGGTACTGCAAAACTTAATATTGAAATTGCTAAACAAATTGCATTATCAAGACAGGGCCAATGCCTTTCAGTGGAATACAAGAATATAAGCGCACCACTTCTATGGGCTTGTCAATATAATCATCAATGGTTGTCCTCACTTAGTAGTATAAAACATTCTGATACTTGGTGTCCATACTGTGCAGGTATGGCCAAACATACTCTTGATGATGCTAAACAAGTTGCTCTCACTCGGGGTGGTAAGTGTCTTTCAACAGAATACAAAAATAATAAATCTCCTTTATTATGGATCTGTAAAAATCAACATAAGTGGTATGCAAAATTTGATAATATTGTGAATAAATGCTCATGGTGTCCGTATTGTAGTAAGTATAAACGTGAAAATCTATGTCATCAAATCCTAACAAAATATTTGGGCCCTCCATCAGAAAATCGTAAGCCTGATTTCTTAAAAACAACGGAGCATTCGATGGGGCTACAACTCATTCCTTATTATCACTATGGGTTTGCAATCGAAGTACAAGGTGAACAGCATGATAAATATATAGAATTCTTTCATAGAGGAGACCCGAGTAATTTCATCAGACAGCAAGAGCGGGATCAACTTAAGAAAATTTTATGCAAAGAAAATTGCATCGACCTAAAATACATCTGGTATTACGAAGACCCACACATAATTATTCCAGAACATCTTCGAGAACTGGGCCTTATAGAATAAAGACAAAACTTTAAATGCTTGTATTTCATTAAAATCCTTATTTTTTCGATATAATAATTTCATGCCAAACCCAATCAAAATGAGAAAAATGGAGTATTATATATACCATCTTAACGAGACCAAAAATTCAAAGAATATGAATCACCCTGCCAGTCCTGCGTTTCTTTTTCGTTTGTTGATTTGCGGTGGATCAGACAGTGGAAAAACCAATATGATTCTTAATCTTCTTCTTGGAAATAAAATCCAACGTTTGTTTAAGGAAAAGAAAGGGGAGCGGTATCTCAAAAATGATGATCTAGTCTTAATTGGAAAGCATATCCACGAGCCCAAATGGGTATTAGTGAAAAACTGTTATGAAATTTTTTCGAAGGGTCCAAAATCATATCGGGAGAACGTGTCATTCCGTGCATTAAAAGCAGATGCAATTCCAGACGTAACGAAATTTTCCCCAGATAGGAATACAGTTGTAGTTTTCGAAGATCTTTGTGCTGAATCAAAGAAAATTCAGGATCGGATTGTTCCATATTTTATTAGTGGCCGACATCAAGGTGTATCAAGTATATATGTGAGCCAAAAGTATACACAAACCCCTAAAATTATTCGCGAGAATATTTCACACTTAACTTTATTTCGAGGCTCAGGGAGCCGTGAAGATATATGCAGAATTGTACGTCAATATACGGATGATCCAAAAAAAGCATCCAAGGTAATCGACAAACATTTGCGAGATCGAAATTTTGTGGTCTTCGATTTTACTAAGGCAACTGATGATCCTCTCGCAATTAGATTAGGTTGGGATATGCCGTTAAAATTGGATGAATAGGCCAGTAATAGGCCTTCTTACATTTGAGTCAGTAAAAAATTTCATGTTATAAAAAAAATGCGTGCGCGTCCCGAAAAAGAATAATTTATGCATCATAAGGTAATTTAATCATTAACCCTGACGTTGATAAACTTTATTAAAATTTGCTTATATAGCAGACAATGATTTGCTTTTATAGCAATAGAATTGCTTTGAGAAAAATTAACTATCAGGAAAACATAAACATTAAGTTCGAGAAAAAATCAAATACTTTTTCTTTTTCTTGTTGGTTTCTGTTTCTGTTTCTTCAGACTAACGTCCGGGATTGCATTTTTAGGCGCCTTAGGTGTTACGGTTGGATTACGGATAAATCTACTCGAACAAAGAGAGCTACTGGAATTATTTCGATTTGAGTAATAACTATCGATACGACACTGAATAGGAATAAAAAAGTAGGTGAGGAGAAAAATCGTGGAAAATAAAGTAACTTTTCAAGAAGGATTTTACCTTAAAAAAATACGTTTCCAATATTAATTTCCGCACGAGATTAAATTCTGAAAGCTTTCGGGCGAGCTTGATTTCGGATAGTTGAAAGAAACGATAGATGCCATCGTATTCCAGGTCCATCATACAGAAATATATGTACCCTTCTATAATATTTTTATGAGAAAGAGTATTAAAACATGAATTCACCAAAATGCGAAAAGAAAACTTACCACATATATGCCCTCCAAAAGTCTGTACTCCCGGTTCATTTTCACATAATAATATGTTGTTTATGCCACCTTGGCAAAAGATTGCCACTTTGTAAAGGTTATATCCGCCAACTTTACTTGTTCTTGTGACTGAGAAAGGTTTTGCTTCAATGAAACACGATTCCTCACGTTCTCCTTTTTCTATAATTCTATATATAGTTAGATCGGTTTTTTTCCCTTGTGAACGACCATAGGTGGAGCGGTAATCCTTTGATGATAAACTTTCGGAATTCGCCCTTATTAGAGAAAAGTAAAATTAAAAGAAATAAGAGTGTGAACAATGAATGATCATAAATTTACAAAGAACATACCAAACTGTATCATAATTAGAATCCCGAAAAGTTTCCTTGAAAGTATCGTGTATGTATTCGTGCATAACGGTATCTTCGTTTTCATCTTTACCTGAATCCGGGTACATATGCATCCTCTCATAACTTGGAGGAAAAGAAAGGTTAGACAAAAAGTTAATAAAGAAATAACAGAAAAGTAAAATAAAATAATTACAATACGCGTGCCACAATTTGAGTCGTCTCAAAAAGACGTCTTTCTTCGTCCGAATAAATCACTTTATCACAGTACTTGCCCCACATTTCGTAAAATTTCAAACGAAGCTCATCGATGTCGTTTATAACCTATTTTTGATTGTTATATGAGATAATCATTAATTTGTGCGCACTAGCAGTACAACACTCTTACTTTTTCGTATTCGTTCATGATATCTCCAAAGAAACTCGCCGGATCAGGTTGGACTGGTTGACGGATTGAAGCACGCCAACTCCGCTCGTCCACAGTTATATATGTCGGTCTTTTCATTCTAGTTAAATCAATCAACATGATATAGTGAAGAGATCTGCAATATACAAAGGTTTCATTAGATAATCGCGTCTTTGGATGACTTCCGGATTAGATTTAATTATCGAGCTAACTTACAAGATTTCTTCAATATCCGAAGAGAAGAAAAAAATCACATCATCCTCCAATTTGTTTACATTTGTGATCTGATAATCGCGAAAAGATCTTGAGACGTTATAATCTTCAATATTCCACTAAAACAGTGAAATGGATACAATAGTCAGTATTATCCCAAAACAAATGCAGAATCAGAACGATTAACTTACGTCTCTCTGTGAAATGCAACTGCGGATATCCTGTCGTATCTTTAGATATGTTTCACGTAACATCATATTAAATACGTCTTCGTCCTTTGTATCGATTACCGGATCTTTTGAAGTAGAAGACTCTACTGGAATGGCTGGGATGTAGGACATGGCCGAGGTGGAGGACTCTTCATTAACGGCTCTGATCTATGCATTCAAAAGTAGTTATAGGGTTAAAAGGCATTTCTTGAAAAAAAAAAATCGAAATATTAAATTATTTTCTGACCTTTTCTGGTGGTGTAGAAGGTACATCTTCCTCGCAAGGTCGCTTTTATCCGACGGTTACAGATTCCAAATCCTCAATCTTTACATGCGATTCATCAAACAGATCTTTTTCGATCTGCTTGGTAATTGTTTCTCGTAGTAAATGATCTTGGTTTCGGATATCTTTCGTTGCATCCAGAATCTGTCGGGTCTAAAATGAACCTTTCAGTATACAACATTGAGATCAGGTATAATAAGGTATCAAGTAAACATAGCTAACCCGTTCGAGACGAATATGGTTATTTAGTTCGTTCTTTTCCAGATAAACCAATATTGTTAGGAAGTGTATTAAAACAACAAGCCATTAAATTTCGGATATACCATTAAGACAACTTACCTGTTGCAACTGGGCTTTCTCTTCAAGTATTTTGCTCTCCATATGAATGGCTTGTCTCTTTGTTTGTAAATCCCAAAAAGGAATTAATGTTTGCGATTTTTTCTCAAGCTTGTTGAGAAAGAATGTGAGAGAATATTAATAAATCTAAAGAAAACATTTGACCAGCCTGAAACAGCGGATAAACTCCCTCGCATTGCAAGGTAGTCCGTTGAAACATTAACAGCTCACTAACATACAGCTCACTGCATGCTCACCAACTGACCGTAGTCTTTTCCCACTGCCAACCGTAATTGACAGGTAGTTAATGACGGAGCGCTAAAGTATTGCACTGAACACTAACATACAATTTATTATATGCTCACCAACTGACCATGGTCTTTTCCCACTGCCAACCGTAATTGACAGGGTAGTTGGTGACAGAACCAATGCAACTCAGGCTGTTTAATCAATCAAAAAAATTGAATGAATTAATCAATTTTGTTACTTTTTTCCCGACCTCGGACGTTCCAGAATAGTACCTTTTGATCGTATCCAATTCACTTTTGTATTGAGAATACTCCGTTTTTTTATCTCTTAGAACACCTTTTTGGAATCGAAAATCTAGAAACTTTTTAAGTGAAGGATTGACTGCGCCTTCCCAAAACTCTGCATCTAATTTACAGTGGTTTTTCAGTTCGTTAAGACAAGCGGTCAACAAGTGCATTTGAGAAGTGCAGTATATCTTGAAATCAATTAGATGGCTAAGCCACAAAAAAAAAGATCAAATATTTTGACGCGTTCCTGATTATTATATTACATAATGTTACGCCACGGCACAGAATTTTTAGTCACGTGCAATAAGCAAATTTTTTGACGAAGTGGGCGAAACTTTATTGAGAAGTGAGTGAAATATAACCTCAAAACGGCGTATCAGATAATTGCGAATAGTCCAAAACCATATCGTGAAGATATCACATTTCGGGCTATGAAGTCTGATAAAATTCC